CCTCCCTGGTTCCAACAAGCATCCCTCTGACAACAATGGGCAAGCCAGACACCACCAGCAAGGGAGACTGAGTATGCGCCTCACACAAAATAAACAGCCACGGGAAGTGCTCTCCCCTGCTAGTCCTGAGAATCCCCTTTTCCACCAAAAGAAATTGAACCAGCAGGCAGAACCAGCTAGAGAGACTCAGCTATACCAACCAGTCAGGTCATAAAGCCTCTTCGTTCCCATAGATCCAAGGACCTCCTTCCCTACCCAGAAACATCAGAGCAAGCAAGCAGAAACAGCAAGAGGGACCCAGTTTTGATAAGAGGACCAGTCCAAAAAGTGCTTTTTTCTCCATGGGCCCAAGACTCTCCACTCCTGCCCAGAGATATCAGGGCAGCTGGGGGGTACAGTAATAAAATACTGTCTCTTCCCTCCCCTACTAATAGACATCCAGTAGCTCAGCCTAAGAAAAACATCTTCTATCCACTCAAGTAGCATCAGCAGAAACCAGTGGAAGCTCTAATGGTACCAGATAAATAAAGCAAACCAAAATAACAACAAAAAGGGTCTGAAAATTAAACTGTCCTTAGAAGCATAACCCACAAAAGGCCAAGACCTGCAAACTAAACCTAAACAGACTGCCTATTAAAATTAAAAATGGAAATAGGCCCCAGAGCCTCCTAACATAATAAATAAAATATCTAGTATTCAATTGAAAATCACTTGTTATATCAAGATACAGAAAAAAAATCAAAACTTGAAGAAGAGGCAATCAACTAATGTCAAAACCAAGATGAAACACATGTTGGAATCACCTGAAAAGGATTTAAATCAACCATCATAAAAAATACTTTATTAATCACCCTGGCTGGTATGGCTCAGTGGATTGAGTGCCGACCTGTGAACTGAAAGGTCGCAGGTTTGATTCCCAGTTAGGGCACATGCCTGGGATGTGGGCCAGGTCCCCAGCTGGGGGCGTGTGAGAGGCAACCAATCAATGTATCTCTCACACTTCAATGTTTCTTTCCCTCTCTTTCTCCCTCCCTTCCCTTCTATCTAAGAATAAATAAATAAAATTTAAAAAATAAAAATAAAAAATACTGTATTAATCAATTACAAATTCTCTTAAAACCAATGTAAAAATAGAAAATCTAAGCAAAGACATGGGAGCTATATAAATAACAAAATGGAAATTATAGAACTAAAAAATTCAATAATAGGAATTAAAAACTCACTAGAAAGGTTCGATAGTAGTCTGGAGATGACAGAGGATACAATAAGTGAATATATGGACAGAGCAAAACAATTCAACCAATCCAAAACAAGAGAACAAACCGACTGAGAAGAAAAGAAGGGGGAAGTGGGAGGAGGAGGGGGAGGGAGGGGGAGGGGAGGAAACAACAACAACAACAAAGCCTTGCAGATCTGTGGAACAGTAACAAAAGATCCAACATTTGTATCACCTGAGTTCCAGAAGAAGAGAGAGTTGGGCTGAAAGAGTATTCAAAGAAATGTATCCATCTTGGTAAATACGATACTATATAGAAACAGAAATAAAGACAGTCTGGTATTGGTAGAGGACAGACAATAGATCAATGGACCCACACAAACATGCTCAAGTGCTTTTTGATAAAGGTCCAAAACCAATTCAATGGAGGTAAAATAGTCATTTCAACAAGTGGTACTAGAACAATTGGGTATCTTTGCTCCCTATCTGGCCCCAAAGAGAACATTGATCTACACAAAAATCAATTCTGGACTTAAACACAAACTTGAAACTGGAAAATTTCTAGGAAAAAAATTGGAGGCAATCTTCAGGATCAAAAAGCTAGACAGAGTTCTTAGACTTGATACAAAAACAATCCATAAAAAAAATTGATAAATTGGGCCTCACCAAAAGTAAAAACTTTTTCCCTGTGAAAGCCCAAGTGGAGAGAATAAAAAGACAAGCTAAAGACTGGGAGAAAATACTTGCAAAACACATATCTGACAAAGATTAATATCTAGAATACAAAAGATCTCTCAAAATTCAATAGTTATAAACAACAACAATCTAACTAGAAAATGACCAAAATATATGAATAGGTATATCACAGAAAACAGTATAAAAATGGCAAATAAGCACATGAAAAAATGTTCAACATCATTAGCCATAAGAGAAGTGCAATTAAAACTACAATGAGGTATCACTACACACCTATTTTGACCTATTAAAATGGTTAAAATAAAATATAATGCCAACCACATGCTTTTGAGAATGTGAAAATATTGGATCACTCATTTTTGCTGGTCAGAAGACACAACAGTATGGCCACTCTGGTTTCTTATAAAACTAAACATTCAACTACCATGTGACACAGCAATTGCACTCTTGGATATTCATGGTAGAGAAATGAAAACATATGCTCACACAAAAATGTGCACACAAATGTTCATAGCAACTTTATTTGTAATAGCCAAAAACTGGATTTAGCCCTTAAATCCTTGGACTGATGAACAGATACCACGGAATACTATCTACACTAAAAAGGAAAAAACTAGAAGTACACACAACAACTTGGGTCAACCTCCAGGAATCCTACTGAATGAGAAAAGCCAATTACAGAAAGTTATATACCACATGCCTCCACTTACATAATATTCTTGAAATGACAAAATTTTGAAAAACGGATAGATTACAGATTGCCATGGTTTAGGGCCTGAGTGTGGTTATAAAAGGGGAAAACAAGGATTACCGAAGTGTTCAAAGTGTTCAGTACCTTGATGGTAGCAGTGGATGCATTAACCTATACATCTAATAAAATTTTATAGGACTTAGTATACACACAATAAATGAATACAATAAAAAGTAAAGAAATATGAATAAGATTAGTGCATTTGTGTCAATGTTAGTGCACTGGTTGTCATACTATACTATAGTTTTGCAAATCATTCCCATTGGGGGAAACTGGACAATGTATAGAAGTTAATCTACAATTAAATCAATAGAAATTTCTACTTAAAAAAAAAAGTAATGCCCAGACCTCAAACTACAGCTCAGAAAAATAATAATAATGCAGAGAGGGTGTCACAAAATCAGCGATACTCTTCTAAAAGTAATAGGACAGAGCTACCTATGTTAACCATGAGGAAGATGAAAAGAAACTGCAACGGAATTATACTGTCAGTCATGATGTAGACCAAAAATTACAAGAGAAACAAAAGGCAGGAGACCAAGGTCAGGGCAGGGGGGTAGGTGGGAAGGTGGATTATATCAGACTGATTCATAAAGTAAGTTCCAACTCGACAGGGAATTACTTTGTTCTGTTCTCCACCATATCTCCAGTGCTTAAAACAGTACCTTACCTACAGCAGACAAAAAATCTGTTCAATGAATTAACTGAGTGAAGCTACATAGCATTGTGCATGCATTCTCTCATGCCCTCATGGTCCCTGCTTTGCACTCCTCAATCTTTAGGACACTTAGCAACACCAGGTATTAATTTTATTACTTTTAATACTAGGTGTCGACTTTACAACTCTAACATACAGGTTAATCAAAGCTGGCCCCAGAGAGCCTTCCACCCTCAGCAACCATACCACAACTTAGTACTTAAGACCCTTTAAATGCCTCTTGATCACACCTCTGCACCTTTGCAGATGTTGTTCCTTCAACCCAAATGTTTTTCCTCCCTTGTCTGCCTGGAGAATTCTCAACTACTAAACTTTAAAGTTGTGTTCTCTGTGAAGCCTTCTCTGACCATCTCCACAACCTGAAACACAACCACCCCAGGCCTACTTAGGTGTTCCTTTTTCTCCAATCTCTGGGATCAAGTATATGTTGGTAATTACTACAACACTTCTCATAACACAACGAAACTGTTTCTTCAGATACAGTTCTCCCATTACACTGTGAGCCAATGAAAATCAGATCATGGAGGTTTCACCTTTCTGTCACTGGGACTTCACTTACTGCCCACAATACAGCAGGCATTCAATTGATTATAGAAAATTGCGAGAGCAAACTCATTTCTTACGAATTTGTAAATGAGATTTTAAGTGAAAAATTCCTATAATTTAGTGTATATATAGTAAGTACAAATCAGGCAGAAACAGAGTATTGTACAAAGTATACATATGTTATTAGTAAAGATGTCTATTTTTAAATAATCATTAAAAGAGTGAAAGTAGTAAAAATCCTAATAAAATATTGACTATTTAGATTTATTTAAATTTACCTTATTTCAGATCAAATAAGATACGTGGAGTTTCCAATCCACCAAAAATAATTATTGAAAACTTTAAAAGAACCATAAAAATTGCTATATTCTCAAAAATTAGAAGTTCATTTTATATAAAATAGATCTACAAATATATTCTTCTAAAACAAAAATGGAAGTTAATAAGTAGCAAAATGTAAAACACAAAACTTGTTTCCTTGGCAGGATAATACAATTCCCATGGTATTTTTTGTAAGTATAAGGATATATGCATTATTTGTTTTAAATACCTCCTGTTTTTCAACTTTTGGCTCAGCAACCAGCAACTTTTATATTCTCCAATTACATAGATGGAAATATTACTTTTATATATCATAAACAAATTTTCATATGCACTCAACACTTTTTCAAGTAAGTCTGATTTAGTTTAACACAGATAATGTCTTATGAAACAGATTATATTTCTTCAATTATTTCCTTTATTTTAATATTGACAAAGATACTACTATAGGTATGCTAATTTAGAAAAATCAGCAAGTGAATAAAAACTATGTAATAGGAACAGGAAATCTTTCATTCTTCTCCCACTAGATATTCTCATGAGAAGCAAGGAATTCAATAGAGTTTGAATTTATTTTCTTAACTGTCTTATTTCTTGTTTTTAAGAGTCTGAATTTATAATCTTTGATTACTAAAACGTATCAAAATCACTTTGTGGATCAAGTTACTTTATCAGAATATGTTTGTTCACTGATAAAGACTACAAAATCATTAGACAAAGTACAAAAATAATTATCTAATGGTATTTCTTACCTTTTATAGCTTTAATACTGGCAGAAGTCAGAAGGTGACTCTTTTTGAACAAAATATCAAGCTGCCTGCATCAAGACAGAAACAAAGTCACAAAAAGCCACCCAGTATGCAAGTAATAACCACAGTTACAAACCAAAAATCTGACCACATATGAATACAAAGCAAAGTGCTGTTTCAGAAGCAAACATGCAGGAATGAAGAGTGACCAAAGTTGAACTCTGAAGACATCATTCACTACCAGCTAATATATGCTGACACTGGCCACCTTGCAGATACAGTATTTAAAACTTCTCCCACGCTTTCTTTATTTGAAAAGGTGGTTTCTAGCTTAATTCAAAAAAGAAATTAAATGCAACTAAAACAGCACTAGATTGGGCAGTCTGTTGGAACAACATTATGGATGATAATGTCCCACTGTGAGAGAACACTGAATATAAACTATGCAAGTCCATAAACAAATGAATAGCATGCTTGCTTTTAAATTAATGTTTTTTCATTTTAAAATTGTATTTGAAAGTACTGACATTTAAAACTATTTAAGGACAGCAGAATTGTTAACAGAAATTTTTTTCCTTTATTTTAAAGTATTAATATAAATCAACAGATATTCATTGAGCAACCATGGGAAAGATAATGTTAAGAGATAGATAAATAAAATCTTGATTACTGCCTTCAAATAATTTACAGTGTATGAAAAATAAATAGACAAGTTCACAGGTAACAATGATACAATTCATTCAAAATTCATTCAGCAACATGTACTGAGCATCTATTTGCTAGGCACATTTCTCAGTGCCAATAATACCAAGGCACATAAGATTACAGCCCCTAGTCTCAGCAAGCTCACAACCTATGAGGGCTGACAAGCCTGGAAACTAATGTCATATAACTCAACAGGCGCACACATACAAATTGGCTATAGATTCAGTGGGAAAACAGGAAGTGTGCCTAACATTTCTAACATCCACCAAGAGGGGTTCACAGGAATAAAAGCATAAGGTGCATAGCGTTACAGAGAAAGGAAAGACAACCACTGAGTAGAGGACTCAAAAAGACAACCGCTAAGTAGAGGACTCAAAAAGCCTTTATTAAGAAGAGACCTTCACTTTGCTATGTATGTGTGTATCAAATGATCACATTGTACACCTTAAATTCACACAATATTATATGCCAATTATATCTCACTAAAGCAGGGGAAAATGTTAATTAAAAGGAGAACATCTCCACAAGCCTTACAGAAAAAGCACACGTACATGTGTGTCTTTTGGCAAGAGCATACGCAGGAGGGGGCTTTGAAACAGTCCTGGATTGAAATCCTAATTCTACTATTTAATAGCTATGTAACAGCACATTTTAATTAACCTCCTGAAAGCTCAGTTTTCTTATCTTCAAAATGGGGAGAGTGATACCTACTTTGCAGGTTAGACAAGGTCAATTATTTAATGTGTCAGATTTTAGAGAGACTTTTTAAAAAGTAGTCATTACTAATAAAGCATGAGCAAGACAGCACCCACACAAGAGAGACCATGGAAGAGCAAGCAATGGAGCAATATTTCTAAGTAGAAGTTTAATATTAGCAAGAATATACAGGTAGAAAACAGGGAACATATTTGTGAAACATTGCTAATTTGAAGAAAAATGGGAACAAAGTGTTTAAAAATTAAATATGACCACAATGCATACAACCTTGTATACCCTAAATATAACTGTAACCTAGATAACTTAGTCTTTTGCTCTTTCTATACGATCAAATTAAGGTCAATTTTTTTTTTCCTTCAAAGAGAATAACAGTGTGGGAAGAAGTCAAAATAATTACAAACTCAGTATGTGCACTTTCAAATAGGTTCATTAAAAGCATACCCTAGCAGAATGACAACCATCAAGGTCCAATCAGTGTTAAGTTAAATGAACGAAGCCAAAGCCAGTCCCTCCACACTGCAGTCAAGACAGCCTCTCAGGGCCCCCAGATCTGACAACCCCAGATTTAGAACATGGAGGAAAGTAAGTTCCATTCCTAGATTTTTTGTGTAATCCCTCCTTGCCCAAAAGGCAAGGGCCGACCCCCTCTCCCACTCTCACCCATCTTTTCTCTAAAATCATGTCCTAACAAATGCATTTTCTTCCCAAACTGTTTCCAACTCCTTACCCCATCTGAAACCTGGCTTCCCCAAAAAACAGTGCTCTCATGTGGAGACTAACCTTCCCTACGTGCTACCACCTACATCCATGAGGCTGGGGGAGGTGGGGGTGGGATGGGTAACATTACCATGATTCCTTGGTGCTATTTCCAAATCACTGGCCTTCCAAACTTATTGAAAAAATTTCTTCTCTGTTGAAATTTACATCATGCAGCTTTACCAAGTCCTCTCCCACTTAGTTGTTATTTGTCTCCAAATCTTCTCAATCTCCACTTGTCCCAAAATGTTATTCTCTAACCCAACTCTTATGTTCTTCCACAGAGATTTTAACCTCTAATCTTTCTCTTCTCCATGTGACCCATGTGATCCAACTCCATTTCAGCTACCCCTGCTACTGCCCGCAGCCTGAACCTAAAACTGTTCTACCTCTGCAGTGGTAAATCTTAATATTCTAGTTTTAGGTCACAACCTACTACGTTCCATCTCTCTGGGGTCTTAACTTCTTCTATACCTACTCTCTGACATCAAAGGTATCTCCAGCTGTCCACTGATCAAACCATATTCCCTAAAATCTACCAGATCCTCCTATATCCTCTCTCTTCTAAGGTGAACATGCCACTTATCATCTGGAACTAGGATACTTTTAAGAGTGAAAGAGATTCTTCATTATGCCAGGGAAACAAGTGGAAGCTTATACTTTACCAGACAAATTGGGGCATATAGCCCCCCTACTTCTGTCCTTACTCATATTGATTCAACTGACTTCCCCTGACTTTCTGTCTTTCTACATTTGTACTAACAACCTCCAATTTTACCTCAATCCTTCTTGACTCCCTCGGCCAAGTTTTTAAAACATATTTTTCTTTTTAGCCCTTACCGGAAGATACATTTATTAATTTTAGAGGAAGGGGGGAGAGAGAGAGACAGAGAGACAGAGAGAGAGAAAGAAACATCAATGGGTTGCCTCCGGACATGCCCTGACCAGGACAAATCTGCATCTTAGTCATGTGCCCTGCAACCTTTTGGTGCACAGGAAGATACTCCAACCAACCGAATGTCACCAGGCAGCACCCCAGGCCATTTTTTGAATACTTAGCTAACTAATTAGTATTCCAAGATTGTACTCATAGCACCTCCCCTAAGCAGCCTTCTCTGTCTACCAGTGCAATTTATCATAGCGCTCAGTAATGACAGTGTCCTATTCATGATTATTTCCTCATGTTTCTCCCATATTAGGCATATAGGTGTACTCAATAAACCTTAAAGTTCTACTCTAATTATCCCTATGTGTTTGTTCTAAAAGGCATTATATGAAAAATGATTACTTTTATAATTTCATATAGATTAAACAAGTCAAAAGGAAGTCCTTCTAAATTAACAGCAAGTATACCAACAACAACCAGCAGGAATTTATCCTGAGCTTTTTAAATCTTATCCTCCCTCTGAACGCTGAGGACTAAGAAGGCTCCTGGTGGCTAACAGGACCCAAATAAAAAATAAATAAATAAATGAAAAGCAGCGCCTAGCGGCCATTCCCACCCAGGGGCCTTTCACGCCAACTGCACTCTGCAGACAAGCCTCTGTGCTACTCTGCCTGCCTCCACACTGAGCTGCTTGGCTCTATGCTGCTAAAACGCTTGCCTGGATCTTGTTTCTGCCACCTGACACAGCCCTTACAAAGGTCACCCTGAAGTCATATTTCAACCAGTAGAACTGAGGCTTTCCCCGCCCAACTGGAGCTGAGCAGCTCTGACAATCAGAGCAGCTCTATTCCGACCAATCAGGGACCAGGGGCAGGGACTTCTGTCTTTAGAAGCCAGCTCCCCTCTGGCTCACACAGTGCACTTTCCACAAAAGAATGAAGATTGCATTTCTTGGGCTGGAGCTGAAGACATCTCACGGGAGCAGCCCGGAATGGCCTCGAGCAGAGCAGACCTTTAGGGAGCGGAGCTACCCAGGCTGCAGACAGGTCTGGCCCCGGGGCAGCCTCAAGGCCGTGCTGTTTTCACAGCTGCACCGTAGCCCGATGGAGCGGTTTTCACAGCCATACTGTATTAGTGTTGAGCTGTTGGCAATAAATAAAGTCTCCTTCTTCACCACACACCAATCTGGGAATTCCTGTTGGCATTGTGTTGGTGCCAATGACAATTGATTGACATCCCCATACATTCTATTACACTGGTTTCTGACTTTTACTCTCTGCTTGTTCTGTCCTCTTATATGTCCAACAAATTTTGGAATTACAGGAGCATTAGTAGAAATTAGTGGATAAGTAGGAAAAGCAAACTTTGGAACATGTACTTTGAAAATTATATAAATATAAACATGCATGTTCTTGAATACATATATTTTAAAAATACAAAGTGGTACACACCAAACTTTTCTCATTACCTCTAAAGAGGGAGACTTGGAATACTGGGAAGAATGTCACTTTCTCCTTTAAGTACCTCTAGTTTGCATTTTTATCATAAGCATGTATTCATTTTAGGGTGTAAAAAGGATATAAAGACTCCCCAAAGAATTCTTTTTTAAGACCAAAGATTAAGAAAACAAAAATCAAATTTCACAGATACAATGTGTAAAAATTATTTCTCCTTCAAATTTCTTTGATTTATATTTATTTAGAAAATGACTAAGGCATTTATGATAGTTACTTCTGTGAAAAATCTCCCAATTGTATTTCCACTCATAGAATGCTTCTGGTTTCTGCTGAACAATTTCATCCCTGTTCTCCATCCCAGGCTCTTGAACCAATTCTAGCTCAAATTGAGCACCTCAACAAACTTCAGTCTAACCACAGGTCCAGCCATTACTGTGGTTGTCCAACAAAGGAACATTTGTCCTTTTTCTCTGTCTTAAAAAGAGCCTTTCATTCATTCATTTACTGATTCATCCAATAAGTACTTATTAAATGTCTATAACATGCC